TTTTTGGAGAGATTTTCACTGTAGGGCGCGTGCGCTTGCCAGACAGACAGAGACATAGAGACAGAAAGCGAGAAATCACCCCCCAGGGGGGATGGTCACGCTGCAATCCCTTCTCCTCCATTCTCCTCTCGGGATCTTGGGCACACACGCACCCAGCGTGAGTTTTAAACCCCGGGGGCCGGGACACGAACCGCGGTCGACTACGTGGGAGTCCAGCGACATAGCCATTACGCTAACTGCTGGTTCCCCCCCCCAAATGGGATTTTTTAAAAAAAGATTTTTGCTATAGGGCACCAGAGAGACAGAAAACAAGAAATCCCCTGGCGGGGGAAGAGGACGTGGGTGGCCATGCAGCAATCCCTTCTCCATTCTCCTCAGGATTTTGGACACATGCGCCTGGCATGAGTTTTAAGTCACCAGGTCTGGAACTCAAACCGCAGTTTACAGGGGAGTCTAGCAACGTAATCATTACGCCACCTGCTAGTCCCACAAATAGAAACTCTGAACTGAGAGAAATGGCAACCAAAGTTAAAAATTCAGTGGATGCAGGTCAAGTTAACTGCCAAAGATTCCTCATGAGAAAGAGTCAAGAGCCAGGGTGAGACCGAGCCCCCAGAGCTGCCAGTGGGCTATAAAGAGGGGAAGACGCTGCTGTGGTGGGAAGGCCTCCAGGTATAATTGCAGAGCTGTTGGACCACATGCCTCACCTGGAGACACGTGGCTGGGATCTTTCTATAGTCAAAAGACACGAGACTGTAGATGCGGTTGGAGGCAGGAACCTCAGCAGAACACAGGTTTAAAGTACCCGCTATATCACAGATCGGGTAAGGAGCAGGGCCCTGGGACCAGTAGGCGTTACTGTTCTTGGGAGGCAGCTGCATGGCAGAGTAGACATGGTGGGCCATGAGGTTGTGGGGAGCCCTGCAGGAGGACCGTAGAGTGGGCTGAGCCTCCCCCATATCGAGTCTGAAGTGAGTGTGAGGAATCCACGGCCACTCCAGGTGCCAGGAATACAAGCATGTCAGCTGCCCACTGTTACTGGAGGGCTCTGGGCAGCAAGACTACGTGACATGCAGGGCCACATCCATATGGTCCAGACGTCCATTGGTCTCTGCCATCATCTTTCCACTCCTGGCTCCAAACACAGGACTCGGCTCGCAGGAGGCTGCAGAGGTAGGCTGTTCAGTGATGGTGATGCACGGCCCACTCTGTCAGTGGTGGGTGCCTCTGGGGCAGAGGTGTCGGTGGAGGCTGAGTGCTCAGGTTTCAGGGCTAACATCAAAGAGGTCAAGATCCAGAAGCTGTCCTGACTCTCAGAAGGTGTGAACTGGGAATGCGTGTGGAGGGGCCCTTCCCAAGAGGAAGACAGGAAGTGCTGTTCATGGTCAGTGTGCTAGGGAGCCTCAAAGGTCTACAGCATGCTCTTGACCCTGAAGGCCCTGGACATCTTAATAGCACAGTGCACCATTAATGGTTCATGTCTGCTTATCCCTAAAGAATGAAGAGTCGCTGAAGAAGTGTGTGGAGGACTACATACTGAGGATTGAGAAGGAGAGCCAGAGGTACCAAGCCCTGAAGGCCCATGCCGAAGAGAAGCTGCAGCTGTGAGTGCTTAGGCTTAGGGCCATAGGTGGGGGCTGAGGGTGCAGATGCCCCCAGAGGGCTCAGCCTCTGCCCTCTGCCTTTCCAGGGCAAATGAGGAGATTGCTCAGGTCCGGAGCAAGGCCCAGGCAGAGGCCTTAGCCTTCCAGGCGAGCCTGAGGAAGGAGCAGATGCGTATCCACTCACTAGAGAAGACCGTGGAGCAGAAGGTAGGCATCGGGTATCAGGCAGTGCCTTCTAGAAGATACTGAAGACCTGCTTCTTCCTTCCCTGGCCTGTTGCTGTTCGCTCTGAACATTCCACAAAAACTCGGTGATTCATCTTTTCTCCTTCAGACTAAAGAAAATGATGAACTGACCAGGATCTGTGATGACCTCATCTCCAAGATGGAGAAGATCTGACCAGAGCTTCCAACCAGTGACCAGCCCTCCCTGTCCTGATTGTCTGTCCGTTTGTCTGATTCTCTCTTAGGTTTCATGTTTTTTCTTCTCTAACTTCAATTTATTTCAAAGCTAGATTGCTTTTAAAAGAAGAATAAAGTTTTCCCTAAGTTTAAATTTTGAAGTTACCCTGGTCTTGGTTAAAATGAAGGTCACGCATCACTGGCCTGAAGCTGAGCCAACCCACAGCCGCTGCTGCCCGCTGTGCCTGTCCCGTTTCCCTGTCCCTGAGCTGCCTGATGAGGGCGGGACCCACCTTGCTCTCTACCTCCTTAGGAATGAGCTGTGGGGATGCTACTAGGCAGGGACAAGCCAGTGGCCTAAGGGAGTCCATGGGTGGGGACTGTGTCTGCCTCAGGACCACAGACAAACTAAATGGACTCAATTTTTTTAAGATTTATTGGGACCAGCAGTTAGCGTAATGGCTATGTCACTGGACTCCCATGTAGTCAGCCATGGTTCACGTCCTGGACCTGGTGGCTTAAACTCATGCCAGGCGCGTGTGCATGCTTGCCGAAGATTCCCAGGGGAGAATGGAGAAGAGACTGTAGCATGTCCATCTCCCCTGTTGGGTGATTTCTCACTTTCTGTCTCTTTCTGGTGAGCACACGTGCCCTATAGCAAAAAACTCTCAAAAAAATTATTTTAATTTTATGTATTTATCTACTTATTTATTTGACCAGAGAGACAGAGAAAGGGAACTGAGAAAGCAAGCCACCATGTCCAGAATTTGAACCACTGTTGGCCATATGGGCATCCAGTGCCCCGACCACCACGCCAGCTGCTGGCCCCAGTGAACTCATTTTTATGTAAAACCCAAACCATTAACAACCAAATAATGGTGGTAGGTTTGATGTCAACCTGGCAAGCCTGCAGCCACCAGCTAATCAAACGCTAGGGATGGGTGTGAAGCTATTTTACAGATGTGGTTAGTTAACGCCTGTAATCAGCAGTATTGAGATGACCCTAGATAACACAGCAGACAGCATCTTTTGTGAGGCTTTGGACCAAACTTAGGAGCCTTCTGAGGAGGAAGAAATTCTGTTTCAAGGTGGCCTGATGGTTGAGGCAGCTGGATCCCAGATGGCTGACTACGTAGTTTAAGTCCCAGACCTGGTCGTTTAAGAGACACTGGGTGTGTGCGTACCCAGAATCCCAAAGGATTGTGATGTAGTCATCCCCCCTGGGGAGGGATTTCTCACTTTCCCTCTCTTTCTGCCTCTGACAAGCATGTGTTCCTATGGCAAAAGTCTTACAAAAGAAAAAAAAAGAAAAATTCTGTCTCAAGATGGCTATGTCAGAACCAGAAGATGACTTAATGGGTGTATCGCTGGACTCCTACGTAGTCGACCACAGTTGGAGTCCCAGACCCAGCAGCTTAAAACTCATGCCAGGTGTGTGTGTGTGTGTGTGTGTGTGTGTGTATGCCCAGAATCCTAAGAGAATGGAGGAGAATTGTGGCCTGGCCATCCTGCCCGGGGTGAGATTTCTCACTTTCTCTGGCAAGCACACATGCCCTATAGCAAAAAATCTATTAAAAAAGAAAAGTGGCAGCATCAGCTCCTGCCTGTTTCCAGTCTGCTGACCCACCCTGCAGATTTCAGACTTGAAAATTGTGTGACCCAGATAAATCTCCGAGAGAGAGCAAGAGATAGAGTCTCAGGGGTGAATATGTGAGCACCACCAGCTATCTGGGGGACCCAGGCTGATACACAAGATGTTTGTAACTAGAAAAGCTCATAAGTACAGAATGTCTCAAAAATGGGGGTCTGAGTTGACAGACACCTCATAGCTGGCATTGGGGCTGTATTGTCAGTGCTCCCAGGGCCTGGCACAGAGCAGGGCCTACCCCACAGAAGGAGCCATGTTAGCTTTGGATGCTGACCATGTGGTCCTGGGGCTGGGTCTGAGGGTGCACTCAAGGGTGGAGGTGAACCTCATGATCAGCACAGTGGTACTTGGGGCAGCTTCTAAGGAGTCCTGGGGCATCGAAGGCCCCCTGGACACGTGGTCACCATAACTCAGCTCAGCCTCCAGAATCAGCCAGGGAAGCTCCTAAGAGTACAACTCAGTGTCCAGGCAGGAGTGAGAATCAGCCCTGCTGACCCATCCTGGGGCAGTGACAGCTAACGCAGGGCCCAGACCACACTGTCCCCCAGGAACGCACA